CGAAACAGATTACACATAGGCCAAAAATAACATGCAAGATTAGGGCCTAAAGGAGAGATAAAGAAGGAAGTGCAAGATGGGGACCTCAAATGACAAAATTCCCTTAATGAAACATGAAATAAAGCTCAAATAAAGGGTACTTTCATTTTTGGTCGGAGCTCAAAACAGCAAGTAAAATAGCTAGAAAAATGTTGCAAAATTAAGCTCAAAAAAGAGGGAATTGGCATTTACCCTTGAAGACCAACCTTTGGTTGCTTCTTGGCTTGAGAAGTGATGCCTCCTAGCTGCTGGAAAGCTCCCCAAGCTTCTGTAAATGGAGTAGTGGTGGTGATGCTAGGTAGTGATGAAGGAATGGTGCAAGGAACTTGGATGCTTGAACTTGAAAGAGAGAGATGGAGGGAGATGTGTATATGCAAGCTCAAGGCAATTTTTCCAACCCTTGGACCAATGCTGGAGGCCAGTTATATAGACCAAAGAGGGGGAGAAAAGGAGGAAAAAAAATAGGGGGAAAACAAGCCAAGTTTCCCCCCAAAAGTTGTTCCCCCGGATACAGATTTTTTGGGGGGAAAAAAGTATACAGTTGTAATGTACTCACCCTGAGGAGCAAGGCCGGCCAGGTTTTGGAGCTGCAGGTGGCCGGCCGGCCAGGGGTCAAAAGGGCCAAGGTGAATTAATGGCCGGCCACTACAAATTGGTGTCCTCCCAGGTGCCCTCAACATAACCCTGTGGTTCAAAATTGTCAACTGTAAAACAGGAGAGAGGATAGGCCATTTTTAGGAAGGGTTCAAAAGGGTCAGGTGGAATTACTGGCCGGCCACCAACTTTTGGTGTCCTCCCATGTGTGTACAACACAAATATGGGGGTTAGGATTGAAGAAATTGACCCTAGGGTGGTCAACATTGGCTTGGAAGTGAGAAAAACGGGCGTCGGAGGAATATAACTGGTTGCTGAAACGATTGCTGGCCTCCCACTCTTCTACGGCCTTCCTGGTGATGAAACAGAGGTACCTGCCAAAAATGAACGAAAATCGATGCAAAACGAATGTTCGGGGGCCAGAACGCGCAGTTCGGGGCCCCGAAAACTGCCTGTTAAGCACCGAAAGTGGCATTATACCACGAAGTGGGTCTCTCAGACCTCAGTATCCCTCAAAAGGGAGTAAATAAGATGCATGCCAAAAACCGAAGCAAATGGAGGTGGTTAAGCGGTCCCGAACCGAGGCACACGGCCAACGGCTCCGAAAAATCGAAAACCGGAAATGGCCTACGACCACAAAATGTAGCCTACGGCCACTGAGAGATGATCTACGAGACCTCTCCCTCCCTTTGGTAAGAGAAAACAGAGAAAACCGAGCCTGGTTCGCAAACTGAGGCAAAGCAAAGAAGAGCCCGGAAGTCCGGAGGCAAGGCGTGCAGCCAAAAATCTGAAACTTCTGAGCGAGCACAATATGCGATATCACCGAGTGCTCAACTGGTGACGTCTGAGTCTCAAGGTCGGTCAAAAATGGGGTGTCTACAATTGGTTTTGAAAATCATCGTAAATAACTTTTTTTTTTAATTTTTTAATTTTTTTTTTATAGTTAAAAAAATTGTATCTTGTACCCTTTTGATTACCTGATCCTTGAATTAAATGTACAATTCCTGAAATTCTCTCACATTATCATTTGTTTCTGTACAAACAGTTGTAATCTAATCTTAAGAGTATGATGATCCCATTGATCATGATTTCTTTATTGAATGCAATCATGTGGATATGTTATTTGATCTTTTCATAGTCCTGGAATTTTTTATTAGCTAACCATTGAATTTGATGTTAATGAAGGGGCAAAAAAGGAGAGAAGAAAACAACCGTTGCTTTTTCTTGTGTTAGAATATTTAAGTGGGATCTAAGATAACACTTCTTTAATAATGATAGGATTGAACTAATGGACTCCTTTTATTGCAAAATGGTGGAACCTTTTTTTTTTTGGATAAATAAACAAACTTTATTAAGAAAGCATCAAGATGATGCAAGGAATACAAAACAACCTCAATTTGGGGAAAACACTAGCCCTTAACCAATTACATCATCCAAGAAATCTAACAAAGCAAACATATCCGGATCTACCTTCCTCTCCAGTCAACTATACAAAACAACTAAAAGATGACTCTCTAACCAAGATACACAATGTTGAACCTCTTGAAAAGTTCAGCTATTCCGCTCCAACCAAACTAACCACATTAAGCAAAGCGGCGCCAAAGACCAAACACGACGTCGACGGTGCCCAACCCAAAAACAAGGAGACCCCACCAACGAGAAGCCACAGAACAATGCAAAAACAGAGATGATCCACTAACTCCGCAGCAGCGCAACACACATAACACTGATTCACTAAAATATGACCATGTTGTATCAAATTATCAATCGTCAGATTCCGACCTAAGGCCGCCGTCCATATAAAGAAACCCATCTTAGATGGAACTCCTGGCACCCAAATACTCCTCCAAGGGCAATCCCTCCTCACCTCCCCCACCAAACTCCAATAGAACGAAGAAACAGAGAACCGTCCCTTTGTTCCCACACCATTGGTGGAACTTGATTGTGCACTGGATTAGGTTCTGCTGCAATTGCTGAATATTTTTAGAATGTTGATCATTTTTCATGAAATTATATTCATTAACATATAGTGAATTTTCTTGGGCTCAGCATTATGCTCGATTATTATGCCTTCTGTTAATTTTGCTGCTGAGAAATGATAATCAATTGTGTAAAATTCAGTTATCAGGAGATGTTTCTGCAGTAATGAAAGCTTTGGAGGAGATTGGAACTCATCTAAGGTGTAATATTAAAATTTTAATTGACTACATATGATTGTCTTTTAACTATCCATTTTAGTTTTCTTTATAATATCTAATAATTCTATTTGTATAGGGAAAATCCACCTAAACAAGTAGTTCAGCTAAATCCAACGTATAATCTTGCCTTCAACCGACCACCTCAGCAATATGTGGACCCAACTTCAGGTTATTCAATGCTTTTTGATTAAAATATTGGTATTATTGATCTGCCGCATTCTGCAGCTGTATCAAAATTTAATTTTTTTTCCTTACAACGACATCATCTTTAGGACAACCAATCTTGCAGCTGATTATGTAACTCTGGAGATGATGGTCTCGGAAACTATTGTTGGTGGCTTGATTGGGAGATGTGGTTCCAACATTTCGAGGATCAGAAGTGAGTCTGGAGCTGCAATCAAGGTATGTGGATCTTTAACTTTTAGCTGTGACTTTGCAGTTGGTAGTAGTCATAACAAGAGAAATGACTGTTGCTTCCCTCTCCTTTTTCTGGTATATAAATTCCTTCGTTCTCATGGTAACCAGAAAGGAGTAATTCTGCATATGACTTTTGCCACTGTCCAAGATAATATTTCGGAATTTTTATAATTTTTGTGTTCCCCTTGAGTATCGTCATCTCAACCATCTTTTCATGATGTATAAAATGCCATAGCTGTGTGCAATTGTATGGTACATGCAGAATCGTGCTTTTATCTTGCTGAAATATGCCAGTTGATTTACTATTTTATCAATTTTAACTCATGATTTTATGAATTTATATGTTTGAAAAATAGTTTAGAAAAAAAGGACTGTTTCTTTGTCCTAAAAAGGATATAATCATCATTAAATCATAAATAATTGTACATGATGATTATCTGCATCAAATTTAAACAAGAGCTTTGAATTGAAATTTCAAACTTTCTAACTCTTGAACTATTTTATTTCATGGACGCAGAGCAGCAGTGTTTCGTAGCTAAGTTTATAGATTAGAAACTAACAGAAACTAAGAACTTCCCCTCTGTATTGCAATTTAAATTATGAATGATGGTTAAACTTTAAGAAGTATCAAGCCAGCTATCTGGCTCAGCGGATGTACTTTTATTACATATCATTAATCTTATTGTTAGTATTGGAAACTTTGAATTGCATTAAAAAATCGTTTGTGATATTCAGGTTATGGTGTCATCATTGCAGTTTTGCCTGCAAACTACATCCCCATTGTTTCACTCTTCATGCTGTTTCATTGTAGGTTTATGGTGGGAAAGGTGTGGAGAAACATAGGCAAATCCATATTGGTGGTAGTGCTCAACAGGTGAGCCCCCTCCCCGGGCTCGATTGTTAACGTTTTCATTTCCTGTTTTTGTATTCATTTTTTTCTGGAAACTGGAAATAGAAACTTGTTTGGTATATTGTTTTGCTGGCCCTTTGTTGACCCTGTGGCCGTCAGCAACCTTTTGACGGCCCTCCGGCCACCTTGTGACCTTCGGCGACCAATTCCGGTGGCCACCCCCCATCAATGATCATCACAATTGTCCACCATCGGCCAGCGCCATTGTCAACTCACCAAACATGTTTCTCTATTTTTGTTTTTAAAACATTTTTGTATGCCAAACAAGTTTTCTGTTTTTTGAAAACAGGAAACTGACAACATTTACTAACAACCCCTAATAATTAATTTTGTAAAAAAATTCAAATTTATTTTCACAAATTAAAAGATCTCAATTAGTTCTTGTATATAAAGTCTTCAAAATCATTGGAAAAAGAAGAAATTTTAAAATATAAACTATTTTTTGGGATGTGTGTAATAGTGAAAATGGACCAACAATTTGGGACAGAGGGGGTAGTTTCTTATTAGGCAGCTTAGTTATGGTGGCAAATACATCCTGTGCGCGTGGTGGAAAGATGCTTTTGGGTTTATAATAGCTAGGATTGTTTTCTATGGGGAATTCTAGCACGTCATCTCTGTTTTTGCCCACGAAGGAAGAAAATGACAGATATGGCTGGAGTAAAATATGAATGAATATATTTAAGCCACGGAAACCAATAATTGTGGCCATTTCAACAGTATAGTTTAACACCGTTTGTTTCTCAACGGCCTGATTGTGAGATTTCTCTGGATGCTTAACAGGTAGCATTAGCAAAGCAGAGAGTTGATGAATACGTGTATTCCCAGTTGATTCAAGCAGCTGGTACTCAACAGGCAATGTATGTTTCATGCCTAACATATTTTCCTCCTGGTTGTGAAAATCTATTTTCCGTGACTGGATTTGGAGATTGCTTCTTTTTTTTTTTCCCCTGCTCTTCTCTATAATTTGGATCAAAAATATTTTTGCACAAAATTTTGTACACGAAAAAGAGAGTAGCATTCAAACATTCAAGTTTTGTTACTTATGCATTGAGGAGTGTCCAAATGTGTTGGCTTTGTCTTTTTCTGAAAAAAAGGGAGGTATTGGCAGAGTATTTACAGTTGTGGACTAGCCCAAATTATACCTTATTAATAAAAGCTGATTGCTTTGCATGACTTAATTCCTGATCAGTATTTGTTTTAATTTATATATCCTATGCTCTTTGCTCATGCTCAAAGCTAAAGATCAGATTGCCTGTTCTTGCAGTGATCCCACAGCTGGAATGATGACCGCCCTTGCTCCTTTCTTCACATCCGGTGCTACGGATCAAGTTCCTGCTTATCCTGGTATGCCGTCGTTCCACACTCCACAATTATAGGGTTTGAAAATTACCATTTTATGGGGCCTATGTTTGCCAACACACCTCTAATGTACAAATTGTGGACGATCGGTGTTTGGAAAAAAAAAATATATATGCATACAGAGCAATGCTGTATATTGCTGATTGGCACCAAAACAGGTTTTAATTTTTTTTTTTATAATAATTATTTAGAAGTGCTTTTTGTTCTTTTTTTCATGGTTTATTTTTCCTTGGTTAGAAGAAGAAATGCTTTGGTTGCTCAAATATTGAGGAATGTGTTTGGAGAGAAGGAAATGCACTTGGTGTACTTTCCATTTGGGAGTCTGAATAATTTGAGAGAAATTGAAGTTCTCAGAAAGTGGAAACCGAGTTTGGTTCGGTTTTGGATGACCTATGTTGAGTCCTAGAAGAGCAAGAATGATACCAACCATTAAGTAATAATTATATCATGATTGCTGATGAAATTGGATCTCAATTTAACGAGTCTTGTGGATTGGGTTTGCATTCTAGATTTCCACTGTTTTTTCTTTGTAAGCTCAGTTCATTTTGGCTGAAAATATTCTCAAAATGTTTTTCGTATGTTTGGTTGTCATTAAGTTTAATGTACTACTACTAGTGGTTGTATTAGTGCTGGTGGGGTGGTTGTGGTGGTGGTGGTGGAAGTGGGGCGACAGTGGTGGCAGCAACGGCAGTGGTAATGTGAAGGTGATAGTGCTGGTGGTATTGTGATTAGGGTTGCAAATGAGTCAAATCGAGCTTTAAGAAAATGTTTGGGTTTGCTTATTAAGATTTTAACAAACTCGAGTCCGAGTTGGCTTAGACTTGATTCAAACTTGAGAAATTATCAAAATAATAATGTCTACCATTACTATTATATAAATATATTATCTATAGTTATTTATTGTTTACATGTAAATAATTTAGTTATTATTTACATTTATATTATTTAATTATATAAATGATATATTTATCTTATTTTTTATATATATTTTTACATTATTTAATGTATAAATAATATATTTATTCTATTATTTAAATAAATGTTAAACCAGCCAGTTAACAAGTCGAACTAACGAGTTGAGCTTTAATATGTTTGAGTTTGTTTATTAAGATTTTAATGAGTTCGATCTCGAACGCAATAAAAATTTAATGAATAGAGTTTGAATGAGTTTTTATCCAACCAAACTCGAGTCTGTTAAGGAATGATTTTGTTCATTTGCAGCTTTAATTGTGATGTCATTTGTAAGATTTTAGTTTGAAAAATATTTTTTTACCTTTTAATATATATATATTTTTTAATTTAAATATATTTTGGGGGTGATATATATATATATATATATTTTACTACCATTTTCTGTTGTACCAAGTGTCAAAAATTGTAAAAAATATTTTCGGCCAAACGAATGTTTCACTAACACTCTTTTGAAATAGTTTGAGAAAATAAAAAAAAATGGTTATATATTTGCTCATTATCATATTGATGAATAAAAAAGCAAAGCACGAGAGAAGATATGAGTGAGACTTTTTTTTATGGGCAAATTACATATACACCCCTCGAGGTTTGGCTAAATTACAAATACCCCCTGAGGTTTGAGAAATTACGAATTTCCCCCTGAATGCTATATTTGTATAAGAAATTAGGAGGTAATTTGTTATGAAATATAAACCTTAGGGGGTAAATTGTTATGAAAATACAAACCTCAGGGGGCGGGATGTAATTTTCGAAACCTCAGGGGTATCTGTAATTTAACCAAACCTCGAGGGGTGTATATGTAATTTGCCCTTTTTTTATTTGTACTGTAAGGGGCAATTTTTGTATTATAAATATTTTACAATTAATGATTTTTTTAAAGAAAGAATAATTAAATTTCACTATTTTTAGTGAGAAATGAAATAAGCTTAATAAGGAAGTTTTATGTCTTACCATTTCCCACTCTTATAAACAAAATATAAAAAATAATGCCCTTTCTTATTATTTCTGGTTGATACACCCAATCCATGAAGTGTAAGTTAGGGCAATAGCGATCAGTCCCTAAGACATTATTTGGTTTTTTTGAGATAAGACATTATTTGGTTGGTTTAACAGAATGAGAGGGCAACATTATTTTTTTTTTTTTGGTTGATTATGCATAAAAGGAAAAAAAAAATATGATTAAACTGAGTAATTTTATCTTTTTATTTTTTTGGGTAAATAATAAATATAGTTTCTGAGATTTGTTTAAAGTACAGATTATCTCCTGTAATTTAAAAAATTACAAATATCTCATTGTTAAAATTTTTTATTTGACAGATTAACTAAAAAAAAGAAATTCATAATTACTCTCCTATACAATAATAAAATTATCTAAATTATTAATTGAAGCATAATTATAACATCATTAAAACTGTTAATTGACTTGATGATTTATTAATAAAAAGGGCGGTTTGTTATGAAATTAGAAATCTCAGGAGGTGAAATGCAATTTTTCAGAATCACAGGGGGTAATTTATATTTTAATCAAACTTTATGAGGTGTATTTGTAATTTACTCTTTTTTTTTTTTTCACCTGATCTTAGTTTTAAACATAAGGTAACACAAAAATCTAAAAATCTTAGGGTGTATTTGGTTTGTGTTCTGAGATAAATTTTCAAAAAAAATTTTGGGGAGTTTGCGATAATCACGTTTTTTTTGGTTTGTTTAGTTGTATATTTTGAAAATAGTTTTGGAGTTTGCGATAATTTGATATTTTGTTGTAATTAAGTAAATGTGTGTGAGAGAAAAACGTGATTAAGAATAAGAGAGGAGAGAGAAAAACGTGATTAAGAATAAGAGAGGAGAGAGAAAAACTGATTGATTGATGTGTATGAGAGATAAAGAGATTTTTGAAATTTTTTTTTTTTCAAAATTTGAACCAAACAAAATTTAAAATTTTTTTCTTAAAAATTATATCTTGAGATACAAATCAAACAAACACTTCATCACTGAATTCGAATGGAAAATAAATAAGAAAACTAAATAGCAGATTATGAAATTGGAATTTTTGGCCAAAGGACTATACAATAGTTTTTTTTTGTTTTTTTGGAACAACATCAGAAGAGAAAATTTCATTTTATGCCATTTACTTTTTTCTCAAAAATTAGTTAGACTCTGGTTAAATTTAACATATGAACTATTTGAATTATAAAAATATTTGAGATTACTTATTAGTGATTGCACTAATGATGTGATACAGTATTATTGTGCTTTTTTATTTTTTATTTTTTATTTTTAATGTGTATCAACTTATTAATAATTTAAAAAATCACTTTTAATGATACATAACATCACTCTTTGAATTAAGGTCAATGTGACCCTTCAATCAAATGAAATCTGCAGTCATGTCCACCCACGTTGAGTCTACGTCGGAGAAAATGAAGCTTTCGCTAAAGACAAACAAAAACACATGTAAAAACAATTTTCGATCCCCATTGTCAAAATATCATTCAATAAAATTCGGGAAATGACATATATACCTAAATTTTTTTTTCTTCACCAATGTGAATATATAAATATGATGTAAAAACATTAGGTGAACCTATTCTTGATAAAATTTTTATAATATAATTTTATTTGTATGACATTATTTTAAAATTGAGAAATTCTACTACACACTCCTCTTAAAAAGAATGTATCATTTATACTTTTAGTTATGTCATTTTTTTCTTTAATTTTAATTAATTTTTTCTTTAATTATGATAGTATTTTAGTTATGTCTCTCATGTGATATTTGATTATGATTTTTTTTTAATTATGATTCAGAAAATATAAAATTATATTTTTTTTTCTTTAATTATAAGGGGCATAATAGTCTTCTCGTTCAAATTTAAACAGTATATCGAGTGAGGGTAATTCCGTCATTTGAAACAAACGGTAAAAAAATGTACCTTTTTTGAATTCCTGCTCCCCATTCACGGCTTCACTACCTCTCTCTCTCTCTCTCTCTTCTTTTTCTTCCTTTGCTCCCAAGTCTTACCCTTTTTCCACTTCACACACCTAATCTGACAACAAGCCCATCTCTGTTCATCAATGGAGGAACCAGACTCATTCAACAAACCCCGTCTTCTAATTCCAGATCCAACAACTCCAATCCACCCAAATCCAAGTAAGTCCTACTCACTCTTTCTTTGCAAATCTCTCTTTGTTGCATTGCTTCTTGTTCTTCTTCCTCTTTTCCCTTCCAAAGCCCCTGAATTCATCAACCAATCCATTCTCACTAAGTTCTGGGAACTCCTTCACCTTCTCGTCATTGGCATTGTTGTGTCTTATGGCTTGTTTGGTCGAAAAAACACCCAACCAAACAATGAAAATCAGTTAAATTTTGATGATTCAAAAGCATATTTGTCTGGGATTTTGTATGTTCCTTCTATCTTTGAAGATGGGTATGAAAGGTATGATGAGAAAAGAACGATCCAAGCTTGGAATAATGGAATTGGAAGCTCTGTTCTTGATGAATTGAACAATCCAAGATCGAATATTTTCCAAAACGGTTTAGAAAACCCATTTGGGTCTGATGAGAAAAGGGTGAGCCAAACATGGAACTCTCAGTACTACTTTCAAGGTGAATCCATGCCGTTTGTTTCTCGAGAAAACTGTTTACTTGATGAATGGGGAAAACCCAAATCGTTCAATGACAATAAACCCTTGAACTTGCCGGTTCGGAGCCTGAGATCAAGAATTGTAGACCATGACACTCTTGAATCTATTAAGGAAAATGGGTCTATATCAGATTCAAAGGGTTCTTGTAAAAATTATGATAAAATTAGAGATGATTCAAAGGGCGGTTGTGAAAATTCTGAAAATTTCGGAAATGGTACTGAATTTAGAGGTCTAGCTCCTATAAATTTGGATGAAAAGTTTAAGGAAACTGTTGAAGTGAGAGAAGACCATATGAGTAGTGTAAAACCTCCGTCACATTCAAGGCCTCTGTCAGTTGGGGGATTTGAATTTGATCATCTCAAATCACAGTCTTTTTGGTCCCCAATATTTTCCCAAACCAATTCCATGCCTTCTCCACCCAAGAAAGTATCACCAGATGTGCGATACTCAAAAATAGAAGATTTGGAGAGAGAAAAGAGTTCTTGTTGTTTGTCTTTGCTTCCAGATTCACTAAGAAATGGAGAAGCATCGTCACTTGCTACGAATGCTCGGAGATTTAGCATTGGCTCTTTGTCAGAGATGAATGTGGAGAGAAATTGTGAAGATAAGTTGAAGGGTTTTAGTAAGAGTATGAGAGAGGACTCATTAGGCAAAAGAAAGTTTGAAGTGGATTCTTTGAAAGGGAAGTTTGTCAAACCTTTACAAAGGGGAAAATCAGTGAGAACAATTAGAGCAAGTGAACATTGTTTGGAGACTAGGAAAATGGCAGAAATTTATTCAGATCATGTGGATGACAAGTTTGAAGCAATGTCAATGGAGAATAGTGGAAGAAGAGCGAGACTTGGGCAACCCAGAAGGCAAAATCTTGAAGATCTTTCTCTAAAGCAAAGCAAAAGCTCAAGCTCAAGCTCAAGCTCCTCAAAACTCTCCAATTGTGCTGAGACTAATGTAGTCGAGCCTGAAAAGGATCCGGACAGTGACTTTGAGAGCTTTCAAGTGAGCTCAGACGAAGGAGGAGAAGAAGAAAAAGAAGAAGAAGAAAAAGAAGAAAAAGAAGAAGAAGAACTTGATGCAAAACTTGATCAATTGAGCAATGCCAATGATGCAGAACTTGATCTTGATTCGGAAGTTGATAAGAAGGCTAGTGAATTCATAGCCAAGTTTAGAGAGCAGATTAGGCTTCAGAAAATTGCATCAACCAAGGGATTTAGTGGTTTGTAGGACTCAAAAGAAGTAAACTATATTTATAATCATATATGTATTGTGTTCAAGATTCATGATTAGAGATAGATATATGAATTTCACAATTTTCTCATCTCATCTTTCTCTATTCTTTTTGTAAATCTTATGTATGCTTTTGTCGTCGCTGGGTTTTATTGTATTTACAGCTAGCTGTGTGTGATGGTGTGCTGTTACAATTGCAAGAAGTTATAAAATTGAATGTGAGTTTGATTTGGGCAGTTACATGACACAAAAAATTACAGAATTTGATAAGTGCAGTTATCAGAGATATTTTGAAAAAAAATTAAGGGCAAATTACATATACCTCCCTTGAGGTTTGACTAAATTACAGATACCCCTGAAGTTTCGGAAATTACATCCCGCCCCTAAGGTTTGTATTTTCATAACAATTTGTCCCCTGAGATTTAAATTTCATAACAAATTACCTCATAATTTGTTATGCAAATATATAGCATTCAGGGGAGAATTTGTAATTTCTCCAACTTCAGGGGATATTTGTAATTTAGCCAAACCTCGAAGGAATATATGTAATTTGCCCAAAAATAAATAGCGTGAAAATAATAGACCAACTCAAATATAAGTTTTATATAATAGAATAAATTACACTTCCGATTTAGGTTGTAGTTTGGGGGCTTTTCCCAAACTAAGGCCTCGTTTGGGATGTTATCTTTTTAGCCAATTAGCCAAAAAGTTACTAAATTAGCCAATTAGCCAATTAGTCATACCAAAAAGTCAACAATTACGGCTTCTCTCTACTTTTTGCACAGCTTTTCGTAATTAGTCAAAAAGTCATCCCAAACATACAAGTTTTTTTTACCTACCTTTTTAGCCAATTAGCCAAAAAGTTACTAAATTAGCCTGTTCCCAAACGAGGCCTAAGCCTCTTTTGCATCCTATTTCCCAAACTAGGCCTTGTTTGGATGGATTTCCCAAACTAGGCTAAAGCCCTATTACAAATCGCGCTTTCACTGTTTGGAGCAGAAAATTTGATGAATAGTGAAAGCGCTATTACAAAAAGCGCTTTTAATTAAGAAAACGCTATTACAAAAAGCGTTTTCACTGTGCATATGAAAAAAGCGCTATTACAAAAACCGCTTTTACTGTGCATATTCAGAAAACGTTTAAAATATATTAAAATGTAATCAAACTTAATCTTGAGTTCTCTGCAGCTCAAATGGTAGTGCATTGGTTTTGCCACACCTCTGCACAGGTTCAAACCACATGCACACCAACTCCAAACAATTGCTATCTAAAATGAAATTCAACTTTTTTTTTTTTTC